GCATGCATATTCTTTTTTAGTTTGCATACATATTTTATTTTAGTTTTTTTTTGTACATACATGTATTTTATTTTTGTTTTTTTCGTACATATTTTTACATGACGCCATTTGCAAAGTAGAGGTTTGGATAATTACACCATTTGTAAAACACCATTTTCAAACACTTCGCCATCTGTAAATTACAGTACCTTATTTGCAAATACCAATATTTTCATTTTTGAAGGTATCAAAAAATAACAACACTTTTTAGTATACAATTGTATATATAAATATAAAGTCCGCGGTAACCCAAAGAATGGTTTTGCATATGGTCTCGATGTGGTTAACATTTGTCACAAGGTGCCTTAAAATCCTTCATGGGGTTTCGGAGATAAGGAACGGACATGAAACCCAAGTCTTTATCCTTTGACCTGAAGGTGTGACCCCGACCTTGAGCCGGCACACCTGGCATATAAGTTCTGCACATTATCTCGATGTGCTAAAGAATTGGCCTAAGTTTCATTATTCTCAATTCTCAGGGGGTGGGGTTGAGTGGTGCATATTCATGGAATAATAACTGATCACCAATCAACAGCCCTTTCCAAATAGACACTAATATAATAGTATATAATAATAAAAAGCAATAATTATTTAAAATGTATATAATATAAAAAAATGGGCCGAAAAGGGTCGGCCAAAACCAGACTTGCCCGGCCGAAAACGGCTGGGCAGGTTCCAAAAAAATGGACGGAGAGAGTTTTCAAAAAAGCTTTACAAGCTTCCTACTCAATCCGTAAATTTTATTTTATGTAATTTATTATGTGTGGATTATAAATAAAAATATTGTTTAAACTAAAAAAAATGGACCGAAATGTGACCAAACCACTGTGCTAGTTTTATACTCACCTATGGGCTGTTAGGTGATTTGAAAGCTGTTTTTATTGGCTAAAATATGTTTGAAAAATAAGATATGTACGAAAAACAAAAATAAAATATGAATGCAAAACTAAAAAAAATATGTATGCAAAACTAAATTAAAATATGTATACAAATTTAAAAACAAAAACAAAAATGCAAATGTCATTTTTATGCCACCGTAATTTTGTTATATGAACACAATTTTTAGATATTTCAAGTGGTAAAATTAATGAAACGTTTATCACTTAAGCATCACAAAGTATTGACCGCCATCTTGAACTCCACCTCAAATATTCCAATGTCGCAGATAGAAAATAAGTCAGTACTCAGTATTTAAGCAGAACTCAGATGACACCTTTAGACCTCTTGAACCCCAAGTGCGTTGATATGTACATGATGTAGCATATTAACGCACTTTGGGGTCAATTTGCTCGATTTTAACCCCAAAGTGCGTTGGACCCCAAAGTGCGGTGCGAAGTTTAACGCGCTTTGGGGTCGGACCCCAAAGTGCGTTTGACCCCAAAGTGCGGTGTTACAAGGCCTAAATAGAAAGTTAGTACATCAAAAATATACACATACATCAGTTTAACATTTCGGAACGCATTTTTAATTTCTTGCCTTGCTGCAAAATAGTTTTATTTACATTTTCGTCAAATGGAAAGACAATGCTATTTTATTCCGGTATGCAAATAATTCTGATTTCATGTAATGAGGCTAGTTTACGGATACTGATTGTTGATTTGTTGTTGTTGAACTTTTTTTCGAAAGAATCGTTGTTGACCCAGTTATCCGTTTCCATTATATTTTTTTATCTTTCAAGAAATTATAGTGATGTTTGATTTGTAATGAAATCGTTTTCTTGTATTACAATAACTATACACAAAAAAAACTTCATTAACGTGTCAAAAATTGTCCATTCTCAATTAGAATTATCGACAGTTTTTTTTTCGAAACTTTAATAACCGTTTTATTGACACGCGGGAAAAGGTAGTGCTCTGTATTTCTGAAAACTAAAACTTGCACTTATTGCGAATAGAAGAGGAGACAAATTAATTGTTTGAAAACGATGTGTAATATAGCTTGAATTACGATATGAAAAAATGTAGCGGATATAATTTCAAAGTTCGCCTAATGAATTTGATTGACAGGCCCTGAGCTCGTGTTGTTCCGGAACTGCCTTAACTTGACGTAGGGAACGTGTTACAGTACCGGGCTTTCCGGTTACAATATAGAATCTCAAAGGTGGAGGATTATTTGCGGAAAGACAGGTAGGTGATTTTTAATTTCGGTTTAGTTCATTAAAGATGTTTATGTGCTTTGCTTATCAAGAACTGGATCTAGTCATAATATATTTCCTCAGACACTGTCCCACAGTACCATCTTTGTTTGGCTCATAAATGTGCAGATTTTCCGGTTCGAAATATCGAATGGCATGGGATAAATATTCGTGACTATTCCTGCATACTGGTACTTGTGGGTCATTGGATAAATTTACCTGGCTTATTGTGTTTTTGAGATCATAGAAGACCAAAGAAAAAAAAAAGAAAACGTCAACTCGGAGAACGTCCGTCCGACACACTATTTTCGGGCAATAATTTGAAAAGTATTGAAGGAATTTCCTTTTAAAGTTCAAACAGTGATAGAGACCATTGAGAGTAACAATAAGTGCAGTGTTTAAGAAACATAACTTTACCTTGTTTAATTTTTGAATTATCTCCTTTAAGTTAGAAATCTTATAAACCAATAAACTGAATTGTGCAGCTTATATTTTTCGACTGGCAACACCCTTCACTAAGTCTTCACTCCACGAAATAATGAAATGGTTATTTTGAGCTTGTGACGCACTTACGTCATTTAATCAGGATATACTTAAATAATACCAAACTCCTCACAGTGATTACCTCCCTTGGCAGAATAGAAATAAGTCTATCCATTTTGTTGACTGTACTGATAAGGGGAGATCACTGCGTAGGTTTCAAGGTTTATTTGAATAAGTCAGGGCCCATATGGGCATGTGACAACATAAAACAGTACATACATACAAAATAATACAAAATGGCATATAATATGTAAAAACAAAATACTACAAAATGGCAAATTATAAATGGTCATACAACTTCATGATGTAATAAAATTACAGTAATAATTGAACGGAGTTGACTGGTAATGGAGGATTAGAGAGAAGAATAAAAAAATCATTGCCAGAAAAAAACAAAGAGAAAAGACATAAGTCTAACAAGCTAACATTATTTAAATAATAACATAACATTTTTGCAAACTATGGCAAGTTTCAAAAATATATATCCTTATTACTATGGTTCATTAATTTTTCAAATTTTAAAGCACTTGGACGTTCATAGAAATATTTATCAAGATACTGCTTTCTTGAATTAACTAAATGTGAACATTTAAAAAGATAATGGAAATCGTCGCCTAAAGAGTTACTGGTACATAGGTTACAAGTTCTAATTAGTTCTCTTGGAATATCATCAAACCTTCCTTTTTCAATAGGAAGTTCGTGATTCATACTTCATAGGTAACTTGCTGAAGTTGGCTCAAAACAAAAATCCTGTTTATAAATCCTGTAATTTAGACATTTACTGGAATTATTAATTGTACTTCTCCAATTTTGCATAAAATGATCACGCAGTCTTAAGTTGACATTATTCTTGAATGAAGCAGGAGATTCCACATTTTGATTTATCCAAGATCATTTAAATTATTTCGAACAAAACAGACCCAATCTGATTTAATATTATTCAGAGTATATAAATTATGAGTTGTTCTATATGAAGATTGAAATTATACCGGTTTGAGCGGTGTTTATCGGCCATTTAACACCGGTCTTGATGCGTAGGAATTGATCACGAAGGTCGTGAGATTGAGTGGTTAATGTTTTTTTTCGCATCAAAACGACAAAACCAGTGTTAAATCGCAGATAAACGCCGCTCAGACCGATATTATTTCGATTCTAACAAGATTTAATTGGGAAGATCTTATTTTTTCAAGCGGAAAAAAACTTCCGGTGCCGATTTTCGTATAACGCCGTTCGATTTCGCACCATACTGTTGCTGAGATATAGATACATGTATTATTAAGCAAAAGAAATGATATGAAAAAAAGTTATTTTATCAAGTTTTCAACAATCAAAACTTACTTCTCAGACTGGATTGTATTGTGTTTACATCAGTGTTTGATTAATCATTCTTGTATGTTTGAAATGACGTCATTTTTTCACGTTTATGAATGAGTTGTAAAATGAGGATGGCGTCATTACGCTTCTTACGGATTGGCGCCATTTGTCAAAATATTTATTAACTGATATGGATCAAATCTGTGGCGTTAGTGTATGTGAGATATTATTTCAGTTTTGTATGAAAAGAAAACATTATAAGAACTGAAAATATCAATTAAAATACATTTTATTGTTGCTTCAAAAGGCTTTGTAAACTATATAATCGAGGGAGAAAACATAACAGCCGCATATACAAGTAATCCCAAACCAGTGTTCATTGGCAGTTTAACACCGGGATTTTTTTTTCTATAGTGACAAAAACACGAGTAGTGTTAGAATTAACGAGGGTATCATTACTGTTTTTTTTTTATTAAAATTTAATAAGGCTATTGGTGTCAAATTCCTGACATCGCTCGGTTAGCACATTAGGTAGAGCGTTGGACTATAAATCAGGCGAATCGGGTTCGATTCCAAGACGGTTCAGGTCACTTTCGATGATATTGATCACTAAATACTTTCTACAGTAATTAACACAGTACCAATGGTCTTGCATGTACAGACGTATCAGATCCTTTTGAAAGTGAAGTAACCTGCTTGACAGCCTGCCAAGGAACGATGCGACGGCTGAACAATGCTCTGGTAAATTTAGTGTGGCTTACTGTCGTGATCCGGAGTGAAAATTACCAACACAAGCACCAGCAGATTACCGGCACAATATCTGGTTATTTTTATACAATATATGTGTGCGTGCGTGCGTGTGTGTGTGTGTGTGCCCTACACCCCCTAGTAGTGGGGCATTATAAACATCAAATCACATATGAAATAATTCAAACTTGATTAACATAGAACAGAAAATAGGCGGACTTACCACCACTGACTGGTCATTCAATCTAACCAATGTGGAGTCTAACTTTTTACATTCTTTGTCAGCGTTGTACCATGTCATCCGTACGTTACTAACCCTGTAACAGTATGTATTCCCCACTACTTGCCAGTCCGGACCGCATCTTACGTCTTCAGCTTGACTGTTAACAACTGCAATAAAGGGTTATCCTTCAGTTTAAAAAAATAAGGGTTTATAAACTTTTACATGAATCCATTAAGAAATGCCTCTCATTTACCGACAACATAGTTTTATACGTATACATAATATTTTTTCCTAATAAATTTCATTCCCAGGATAGAATGTAGAGTATGCCTGCATTGTGGTTAAGTGAAAAAGTGAGAAAAATTAGGAAAAACACTCACGAAATAAAAATAATAATACTATAGTCCATCTACTTAAAGGCTTCATTTTCTTCACCATATATATTTTTTTCACAATTGAGAACAATTACAAGATACAAATTTATGAAATCATAAATCAAATATCTATAGACATGTACATTTTGTTATCTGCTATATGAAGGATAATAGCTAGGGTGTTCGTGTTTATTTGTTCCTACCTATCTGTATAGATTAGATAACACTGTTTAAGTGATAATTATCATTCATATAAAAACTGATATTATATTGCTTAATTTTACAGTTTTTGGCCAAGCTGACATAAGTAAGGTCAGATGGTGATATTTTCAACCCAACGTAACGTACAAAGGGAGACAACTTTGAAATTACCGGTTAATTATCTTTGTCTTACTGCGCTAGTAAGGAAATAAAAAATCCCCGCGAGAAACTTTTGTTTTGTTTAAGCAATTATTAATAAATGTTAAGAAATTGATACATCTATTTCTATTTAAACATAGAGTAGAGTGGCTACTTTTGTCATCTGTCCACCTGTATATTTAAATATAGGGGTGATGCTAGTTTCATAAATACTTTAAGTGATGTAACCGTAAGTTATTATAACTGTTGTTTGATGCATGTATGAATAGAACTATGTAAATGTACATAAGCGAGGTTTTATTTAAGCGTAAGAATGGTTAATATATAAAAATCAATATTTTCCATGGTAAATAATTCTTTGCCCTTGATCCATTAATATAGGATATAATCATTGATGGAGTAAAGAGAATTAATTTTTATTACATTTGGTAGTGGGTCTACTGCCTGGGTTTTTCGACAGTACGGACCATGAAATAATAGCTGAAAATTAATGTTCCATGTAATGGAGCTATATATATAAGTAACAAAAACACGGAGCTGTATATATAAGTAACAAAAACACAAATTTAGATCATTTACACACTCCGTTTTTTCCAGAATAATTATCCCAGTTGTGAAAAATGACCCAAGATTGAAAACAAAACGCTTTACCCAGAAAAGCTCAAAAATATGATTTTCAATATTTTCGGAGGACATTTCTGATTTATGTTTAGCATATCTTTCTGTTTTAACTGTACAAACAGAAAATACATAACTGAAATAAATTATTAAAATTTCTAACAAACAAACGTGTATAGATGAATAGATAGACAATGCAATGCAATGCAAATGCAATGCAAAACAGATGTTTTTGTCCAATGCAAAACAGTTCCCATTTAGTAAGAGACAGTGTGTTTTCAATATTTTAGCTGCTTCCACGATATTTGTCCTCATTGCATGAAATCAGACAGTTGTACTATCCATTATTTGTGTACCGAGATAGGAAATCTCTTTTTTCTCCCTTTGACCAGAAAGTAAACAAATATGTTTTGCAAAAAAGCAAGAAATCTAAACTGGGCACCGAAGTGTTAAACTGCTGTATGTGACTGTTTTATGCACTTAGAACTTGCAAAGTAAATCGTGTCATTCCGTAGTTTAAATCATACGTCTTATTCAAAATCATATAAGTCTAGGCTGTTTCGCAGCCGAATAAATGTAGACCCTGTTTAATCAACACAATATCATGCTTCTTATAGATAAAACGTCGATAAAATGTTGACATATATCTCTAACCATTGATAATCTAACCTAATCCGTACAAATATTACATGTAAAACCGTTTGTTAACAAATTTTGAATATCTGTATACATTTATCCAAAACGCGGACCATATACCCTGACTAAAGATGGAATGTGTTAGAAAGTAAGTTTTATCTGGATTATTCTATAAGATGTGTCTTAAATGTCAATAAATATAAAGTAGAAACTACCGAGAATCGTAAAAGTGTGGGATAAGAATACGTCATTTCAGGTTCGTATCTTTATTGTAAAATATAAATACAATGTATAACGTTAACTGGATGTGACGTTACAACGTAACGTAGAAATAGCGTCAAGTGCATAAGAGCGCGAACGTACATATCTTGACACTGAGGGCCGCGAAATTATATTGATTAAGTGCATGTACAATATGTTGAAACGCTCCGAAATATTTTAAATAAAAGTAATTAAAATGTCATTTCCAATACATTTTGTGTGTGTATTTGCGTTTATTTATACTCGCTATCGGTTGCCCATATGTGCAAGACCTCCAGAAGAGTATTAGTCATTTTAGATTTTGGAATATAGTGCAATTACAGCTTCTCCTGGTTCTTTAGTGTGCCAAGTATTTAAGCACCAATACACGGGATCCATCCAAAATACTGCTGGCAATGCCGAGATTACAAGTCTCGCGCTCTAACCGATTGAGCTATGCGGTGTAGGAGCACATTTGTCTCGGAGCACATTTGTCTCACGAAGTGTGACCGATGTGTTCGTGTACATTCATATTTGCGACAAATTGGAAATGAGACAGATGTGTTCGACACACAATAGAAAGGACACTAGAAGCACATTTGTCTCACATTTTTCCATAAAATTCTTAAAAGGTAATAATTATGCCCGTCCGTTTACCGGCAACCAGCAATTGTTCAGTGTTTTCTGTATTTATAAAACTGTTTTAGGTCACTTCCGGTCAGTCAAAAACTTCCAGCCTATGCATAGGAGTCATATATTAAATCAAAGAATATCCCTGTTCTGCATGTCACAATGAAAATTTCTACAAGTGCAGCATCCAGAACCTAAACACATATGCAGCAAGTCTATTGTTATCGTTATCAATTGTGATACGTTTATTTTCAATGCTTAAAGTTTTATAAATGATTTATGGCACTAGAAATATTCTTAGCAAAAACAAGGTAGTATCTACGGTGGCATAAAGGGGACATACAATTTTCTTATTTATTACGTGCGCACACGATAGCTTTTACGTGGCCACGCGATACTATTACGTGCGCACGCGATAGCTATGACGTGCGCATGCGGATATGTATTCCGCATTTGGACACTGACCGGGATCCTCGCAAAGTTCGATGAATAGTTCGATGCCCCGTGTATATGTCGAACCTACAGCGGTTAGGGACAAGTGTTTTTTTTTAATCAATCGGCCCGGAGGCCCTTAAATGATCTATGGAAGAAAATAAGAAGACCATTACACACGTATTTTGTGTTCATCAGAAATACATATATGTAAAAATCGTCATTTTCCAAAAATTGCGGCTTTCAGACCCGCCATTGAAAAAGCACTTACAACATGTATGAGTTCCTAAAATAATCCGGGTATTGCCATAATTATGGAATATCGGACCACTCAGAATCGTGCGAGACGCGACATTCCGATGAGACACGAAGCGAGGCACGATATTGTAACACGAGATCTCGCAATGTCGAAGTATCCCGTACCACGAGATTTCAGAAATGAATACATTTTTACTTCTTTAGATAGAGCAAGTATGAATTTATTAATATTCAAATAATGATTTCTGATGAAGTTAGATGCTTGTAATCTAAAGAAATTCGCGATAAATGTGAAATAATGCGTCATAAAAAATGTAGTATTTTGACTTCAATACAAAATTCTAAATCACTTCAACTGTACAAACTGCAAAAAAGCAGCAGATGAAAAATGCTTCAGGTAATTAGCCAATGAGTAACTTTTTGGAGCTATAAAAGTATACCAAAAATAAAAAGCTTTTGAGGAATACAAATAAAAGCATTTCTCAGGCATAATGGGCCTTTAAGTGATTTTATGTAGACTATAAAGGGAATACTACTTAGCGGTATATGACCTGGAATCAATTTCTTGTCTCGCGTCGACAAACGAGATGCGAAGCGAGACGCGAGATTTCGGCGAGATGCGAAACGAGTCACGATATTGTATCATTCAATATCAACCGATTACGGTGTTTCGTTTGGACATAAGTAACATTTTTGACTCCCTGAACAGCTATGCGCAATGGTACAAAGGTGAAATTGAGATGGTACGATGATTAAAACATGATGACACGATGGTGAAATCACGATGATGCGATGACACGATAGAGAAAATAATATCGCGTTTTCATCATCATGCCATCGCAGTTTCATCATATCGTACCATCGTATTTTCGCCATCGTATCATCGTCTTTTACCATAGTATCATCACGTTTTCATCATCGAACCTTCGTTGTTTCACCATCGTACAATCGTTGTTTCACCATCGTACAATGGCGTTTCACGTTCGTACGATTATGTTTTCACCATCGCACCATCGCGTTTTCATCAACGTTCATCGTGCCACCGCGCTGTCACCATTGTACCATCGTGAACAGGATTTAGTTTGTTTCAGTGTACGCCTTCAGGTTAAGCCAATCAATTACTTGAATTAGAGATATTATGATTGATAGTCCACTTTAGGTTTTCATAAAAAAAAGCATAAGCAAACCTATTGATGATTACACTTGACATGAGGTAAAACGGCGAACCTCGATTCTAAAAAAGAATTTCTGCCGTGGGAATAATGTGACAAATAATTCATAAAAATGACATGAGACAAATGTGCTTTCTTGTCCCTTAAAAACACATGAGACACATGTGCTTTCTTGTCCCTTAAAAAACTTGATCGGAGCACATTTGTCACACAAATGAGTTTTTTGGGGTAGACATTTGTGGTCCCATTTGTCTAATGTGGGACAAATGCGACCGCATTGGTCTAACGTAAGACAAATGTGCTCAGAGACAAATGTGCTCCTACAATGCGGGCTGGCTAATCTGGCTTCAATACATTTTAAACGCAGTGTCTTTTAAGTCAGTTTTCACTGTATAGATATTGTTGCCTTGAAATCACTTCTGATGGATAAAGTCTACACCTTCTTTGGTTCTAATTAATTTTTGCTGCACGTGTAAATCTATCTTTTCTGGTTATAAGTTCCTCCACTATTGCTAGTTTCCACTAAGAACGTGTTTTTTCGTCATGAATGTGCATTACATCGCAAACTGATATCGTCGGAGTATTGTTTCCTGTCGTCTGGTTTTCGAGTAAGGCAGTGATATACTCGTGTCTCTATTAATCAGGTTCCTCAAAACTCTGGCTTTTCTTGTTACACCTATGATATCACATAAGATAGAATTAGTAATTTGGGTCTCGATAACGTCTTGGTTAATGTTCGGACGGCTGGTGTAAGGGGTTCAGGATCAGAAGAATCGGAAGAGTACGTTAGTGGTCTGTCATTCATCACGACTTTTACTTCTGTCAAAACTGTTGCTTTTGTATGTCTGTCTGAGTATTTTGTTTCGACGAAAACCGGTCTGTTTTTAGTTTGACTTCCTGTAAAATTTACAGGGAAGAACTGAATATAAGAAGAGTTTTCATTGGTCATTTTAAAATTACAAAATGAAATCTGAGAATCTCAAAGACCATTCTAAAATTAAATGTAAAGGTTAGCTCTTATCATTATAAGGCAGTTCTAAACTAAAATGTAAAGGATAGTTCTTGCCGTTATTAAATAAAATCTAAAATAGAATGTACAGGATAGTTCAGTAACTTTCTAGATAAAATGCTCAGATATTTAAGTTTTGTTTAACAATACTTCTTGCATTTAGATCTCATTACATTTTCTAGTGAACAGTTTATTTTATGTAAGAACTTACAGAGTTTATTTTACACAAGATCTGAGTTAACATTTTGTCCAAAATAACGAGAATATAATATCAGAATTTAGCAGGTATCCTTAGTTTATGATGTTCAATAAGAGTCTAATAGATGATTATTGATGTGTTCAATTGATATGATGTTTATAATCTTTATATATTTTTGCATATTTAGTACTTATAAAAATAATTGCCTTACCGACTGTTTAGATGTTGCTGTGAGAAATTGAGTTCACTTACCAAAACACAACAGGTTTGTTTAGAAACACATACACTTAAACTTCAAAACATTATTACGACATTGTTATGCAAGCTTTGGTAACATTTCTATATGACTTTGCATAGAAAACTAAGAACTAACATGTGCAAGTTAACCAGTTTTACTTCGGCCGAGTACCTTTTTTTAAAGATACTTCTTATTCAATGGTGTTTTTGTCAGGCCAATAAGTCGTTCCCACCAGCCGCCATACCATAATAAACTGCCCCTGTGTACCCTTGTGGCTAAGTGTTGATTGAAGGGAATCGGACTCAAACAGGCGTTTGATGTGGTTAGCTGCTGCCATCAAAGTTGAAGCATTGTCTGAAGTCATGATTTTAGGCACGAACATACGACTGCAAAAATCTTCGAAATGCTTGTAGAAAAGAATCTTCAGATAAACCGGGAACTACTTCTAGGTCTAAGGCTCTAGCTGATGCACATGCGGATAAGCAGTTGTATGCTTTACTTCCGGTTTTGTCTTTCACGTATTTATCGCCAGGAAAATCAGCTCCTGTGACTGAAAAAGATCATCTCCGACTCTATATTTGGGAAGAGGTGGTGGATCTGGAGCCCTTCTGTTTTCCGGCAATAACGCATTTTCTAAGTAAAGCTCGAAGTACCAAACGGATCGGCGGCATCTAAACTTTTTGACGTAGGTATGTTATTATTACACTTACTCCGGCGTGCAGTTGATCAGTAGCATCTAATATAATAAGGTGGGTCAGATGTTGTTTTGCTCGAAGTAAATATGGGAATTTTGTCGTTCCACAAAGTGGTGTATTGAGATTTTTTTCCGCCACAACGGAGGTATCCTCCAGTATCTATGAAAAGCCGGAGTTGTTTCACGAGAGGAAGGCAATGTTTAGAAGATTTTAGGTTTGAGATTTCTTCACTGTACGTTTTAATCTGACAACTCTTCAGACATAATTTCTCAGCATTTTTTAGTTCAATAACCCGTAGTGGTGAATACACCTTAGGATTTGTTGTGCTTGACTTGCAATGGCCGACAAATCTAAACAGGTATGCCGTAACACGAAGAATACTTCAATATATATATGTGCTGAATTTACTTATGTCAATTCTGTTACGTAGACCAAGTGCATTTGTTGTTCCTGGGACAAGTATCGATAACGAATTGTTTTGGGTTATATTATAAGCTGTCATCTGTTACTGTTGTCATTGTCAGAACTGACTTATCTTGTCGATTCCATATAGGCCATCTTGAAGAGTCACATATCCATGTAGGTCCAGATATCCAGAAATCATTACAGCTGTATTGCTTTGCTGAAATACCACGGGTTAAGAGATCAGCAGGGTTTTCATTTGTCGGGCAATATCTCCAGTTTAGTGTATTTGTCAGTTCCTTTATTTCTGCACTCTGTTTTCTACGAATCTTTTTTATGTTTTGAAGTTTGTAAACAATGCAGAGCTATCTGGCTATCTGACCACATGTAAGTTTTGTCTGCATCTATAGAATATGCATGTTGTAGATAGCTTGCGAGTCATGAGCCTTCAACAGCGACAATCAAATTCAAACGTGGTAACGTCAACGTTTTTAGCGGTGGTAAACGTTCCTTCGCTATAACAAATGTAGATTTCTGTTTTCCACACAAATAGGCTACAGTGCCATAAGACTGTCACTTACATCGACGAAGGTATTAAGTGTATATATGTCGTCTGCTTAGTAAGTACTTTGTTAGTTGTAACGTGAAAGTTTAGTTTCTTATAGTCAGGTTCAAAAATCTCTAACATACGTTGATCACCTGTGTTGTAGGTCTTCTGGTTATATTCTTGTTGCTTAATCTTTACACGAATGGTAACTGGACTCAACTTACCAAGCGGGTCATATACTCTGGACGTCTGCTGTAGTATTTCGCGTTTGGTGACGTAGGCTAATGGTTTTGTCTATGAATGATAATTCGTCTGTGTCTGTGTTCCATAGCATGCCAAGTACTTTGGTGACTGTGTCGGTGTCAAGGACTTGTTCGTTTTCGGCAAATGATTGCACAACTTAGCTATTGGAAGCCCATGTGATCTAAGGTTGAAACCCTCCGTCTGAGAAAATATCTCGGGTATATCTATTTATAAGTGTTTTTTTTAAAATATCACTTACACAAATGTATTTATTTTCTTGAAGATAGTATAAAATTGTCGCACTGAGGATGAATGGAGGGCCGGTTGCACCAAACAGAACATGTTTGAATATGTCAACAAAATGGATAGACTTATTATAAAAGTTGTCCTATAATATTTTCTGAAAATTGAAGCCGCTAAACGTGATCAAACTTCGACAGCATTCAACACTATTTTACAAAACATCCGTATGAAGTTTCAAGCTGTCAAAGATATTGATCAGAAATTAAAGAGATCATTCAGCCTTCTGATACTGAAAATGAGATTCTGCCGACAGAGGAATATAATTATATGAAATAAATGGTTTGGAAGATTACAGAAAATGTAGGGGATACAATGCAGATAACCAGGATGGAGACTTATACCGACACACCAGCGAGCCATCCTTTCAATTGATGCCTGGTATACAGACTTCCAAACATGCAGTAAGTTCAACATTTTCGATTTCCCATAACTTTCCAAAATTATTGCTTCCAACATTAGCAGGAGACTTACTTCAGTAGCAGACATTCTGGGATTCTTATGAATCTTCCGTGCATAATAACCCGTCCAGAAGTTTACATATTTGAAAGCTCAGATTGAAAGGACAGCAGCTAGTACCATAGCGGTTTTATAACTCACATATGCCAGTTACTTTAAAGCGGTATAATTACTTAATGAAATATTTGGACAAACACATAAGATCGTACATACATATATGCAAGCCTTATCAAAACTTCCGGCGCCGAATAATACTCTTAGCAGCCTACAAAAATATTCCGATCAACTAGAATCATACATTTAGAATCCCTTGGTCAACTTTAAGAGACATACGAATCTCTTCTTGTACCAGTAGTGATTGGTAAACTTCCGGTTGAAATACGGAAAAATTTATCATGGGAACACAGAAGCGACAGTTGGATTCTAGCTGACCTTCGAAAGGCTCTCCATCAAGAAATCACAATTATGGGCGTAGACGGTAACTTGCACTTTCCAGTACCGTCCATGAACAGGCTCAATCAAACCGAGTCTGCAACATTTTACAATTTTGCCATGTTGCTCATGACCTTGTTTTATTTTTTCAGTTCAGGATGAAGCAAAACGACATATCTTACACTTCACAAGGCTAAAACTAAAAAAAAATTATTACAGCATTTTTTCTATAGAACAATCATCGAAGATCGAAGTGTTTAACGTACCCTAGGTGATTGTATATAGGACAATTACATGGAGGTTGTAAATATTAAGCGTGATCTCTCGAAATATAATGCACTCATACAAATTAACATTTAAAGTAACCATAATGATACATTGCAAAACAGGTCCCAGGGTTCTCGTTTAAATTAAAAATGTATAACTGTGAAAAGAAATCACTCACATTATAATGTAAATTAAATTTTCATATATTTTATTTTAGAATTATTTCAAAGACAAACATTTTGTGTGTACTGTACCTTTTGAAATAACAGTGTGCTCCGTACCAACATAACTTTATGAAAATATACAAAACATCACTGCATTCATTCGATACATTGGACATTGTAAATCTATCAGATTTAACAAGTATTTTTTTATGAAATAGTGACAAAAAACATACGACTTGCTAGAAATCGCTTCTTATGACAAATAAGCGTGTACCGTTCCCCTCGGCCTCAGCTATGAGAAGAAAACTGTACTCGAATGTTCTCAAAAAACATTCTAGTGTTTTCAGAATTTTGATATACCGTGGAAAGCTGATATAATTACGGGTACTCTGCGCCTTATATGATAAAAATCGGTTGAGTAATAAATTAGTTATAAATAGAAAACCTACCTGAATCGGGTTACAATTCGGCGTCCTCCGTACCCGAAAAGTCACGTGGTATGGCCACATTGTTTAATACCATAAAAATAATTTATGGTAACTGACGCATATTACATCTCCAAAGCACAGTCAATATATCGAATGAAAATTTAAATTATAGAACAGAATTATGGAAAGATGAACAATTACTGTAACAATTCAAGTTTATGTCACATCAACACTTATTAATTGCATAGCACCTTTTGAGGAAATGCAAAGAAAATTGTCCATGAACTAAGAAGAGAGACTGTACATAGCTGCAAAGTAAAATAAACAGAATGTATCTGTTTGTGCGAGGGAAAATGGTGTCTATGTGAACTGTTTAACTTATGTAAACTTGTTTCTTCTTTTTTCCAGAGCAACTTTAAGTTTAACATCATCCGTGCTCTTTGCTGTAGCGTTGGTAACAATATGTAAGTAAGTTGTTTCGGTTTAACTGTTTAAGCAGGGCCCTCCAAAATTGAATTACCTAAGTTTAATGTACATAGTAATGTTATAAGATTGGCTATCACGAGAAGATACTCTGTATGTAAGTATTATTCAGACATTTCAATTACAATCTGTTTGCCATTTTTGCTAAATGTGTTTCTTACCCTCACCATAAGCTTTGACCGAAGTTTGTTTCGGGAAGTTGAAAAAAAACAAGGAAAAAAACAACAGTCAAAGTATCAAAGACTTGTTAGAAGACAATTATTGTCCCAAAAATTCGTCATTGTCTTGTATTTATAAAGAAATCAAGTTAACATATCAAAAGGGAGCTTGGTTGTAATGTAATGTAATGTAATAATTACAGAGATATACAAGAAAATGTAAATTACGTGGATTTTTATTAGTAAATATGGAACACAACTATGTTTAGCTGTGAAATGTTAAAATCCAAGATTACTTATTCAAATGCAAAAATGTTTTAGGTCAAATGCAAAATTATATTGTTTTTAAAGATATAATAGGTAAAAGGGGACATAACTTTTTCAAAATGCAAATAAGAGTTGTGAAACTTGCCCTTTATATTTATGTTCTTATGCTAGATAACCACTTAAACTCATTTTGTCGGATTCCGTCTTATTCTTCTTAAAGAAGATATTTTAAGTTTTTACTATGTACATATAAGGAAAATCAATGACCCCGGGGCGGGGCCAATTTTGACCCCAGGGCTTTTTCTAGAAAAGTTTGGTAGACACCCATTTTAAGATGTTTTATGCTGAATATATATAACCTCTAGCTATTTGGGTTTTTTTTTCAGGAAGATAAATTTGTTATTTACTATATACATTTAGGGAAAACCAATGACCCCCTGGGGCGGGGCCAGTTTTGACACAAGTATTTTTATTTGAACAAACATGGTTAACACCCATTATAAGATATTTCATGCTTTATATCCTAGCTCAAGCTCTTTGGAATTTTCAAACAGAAGATGTCTTTACTATATCATTTTAAGGAAAATCAATGCCCCCGGGGCGGGACCAATTTTGACCCCAGGGCTATTATTAGAACAAACTTGGTACACACTCATTAGAAGATGTTTCATGCTTAATCTCTAAGCTCTAGCTCTTTGGGTATTTTTAAAAGAAGATTTTTTTTAGTTTTTACTATAGACATATGAGGAAAACCCAATAACCCCTGGGGCGGGGCCAAATTTGACCAAGGGCTTTTATTTGAACAGACATGGTAGACACTCATTAGAAGATGTTTCATGCTCAATATTTAAGCTCTAGCTCTTTGGATTTTTAAAAAGAGGATTTTTTAAGTCTTCACTGTATACATAAAATAAAAAAGGAAAATCAATGACCCCCGGGGTGGGGCCAATTTTGACCCAAGGGCTTTTATTCGAACAAACTTGGTAGACACTCATTAGAAGATGTTTTATGCCAATTATCTAAGCCCTAGCTCTTTGGGTAATTGAAAAGAGGATATGTTAAGGTTTTTTTTTTCTTTTGGTTGCCATGGCAACCAGAGTTCTGCATGGAATTAAATGTTTTGAAGATTATCTAAAGGTGACCACCAAAGGAACATGCCTGTGAAATTTGGATGAAATTGGCTTAGCGGTTTATGAGGAGATGTCGTATGAAGTAAAAGTTTACGTACGGACGGCGGACACCGGACGAAAAGCGAACACAAAAGCTTACCCAGTCACTCTGTGAGAGTTGAGCTAAAAATGACATAGCAAGCAGTAATTCCATCTGCGATATTTCAAATGAATGAATGTTCAACTCTTTCAAAATACCTAACACTATCGTGACATTTTGCTAGAAGTAGAATATTTTCTAAAAATAAAATAAAAACCTATATCGATCTCTTCGCAGTGGTATGTTCCTCAAACATTCATTAATTCAAGAAGCATTTACTATATCTGTTTGGACTGTCAAATTAGCATTTCTTTTAATAACCTGTTTAACGTACTAAATCGTGCAATTTTAAGGTGTACCAGTGGTAGTTCAGTCACAAAGCCTTTACCTTATAAATGTGACATGTCCCGCTGGATGGCAAAAAGCTCTGAATAACTGTTATCTGTTCAACACCAATGATCAGCTGAGCTGGGACGAAGCGAGAACAGAATGCGCGTTGCAAAATGCTGATTTAATGGTCATCAGAAGCAAAGCCGAGCAGGTAATTCAATAAAATGTGTTTTAATGCTAATAATAAATTACTTTGTTGTTACTAAATTGATCTTTTCCCCATTATTCTTTTATTACTTACTATCACTCCAATAAACTGTTACACAAATACAAATTCGTCAAATAATTCCGTCAGTAGAATAGGGTCAGTTTAAATTTTCAGCATAATTATATTTATGCTTTCATTTGTGATTAGGACTGGATCATTCTACAAACGGAGGAGTACAAGACAGATGGCTGGTGGATAGGTCTGGTTTACAGAAATGGTTGGCAGTGGGCGCAATATGGCGGTGACAATACACTTATGTTTGTATCTATGTTATTTTTATGAAATTGTTGATTTTCCCTTATGATTATGTTTCTGGACTAAATAAATGTATTTACTCAAAATAACGATATCAGGTCATATCTGAAATTAACACGTTAAATTTTATAACAAACTATTGCTAAAATATATGCTTTGTAGGAGCACATTTGTCTCGGAGCACATTTGTCTCACGAAGTGTGACCGATGTGTTCGTAAACATTCATATTTGCGACAAATTGGAAATGAGACAGATGTGTTCGACACACAATAGAAAGCACACTCGAAGCACATTTGTCTCACATTTTTCCATAAAATTCTTAAAAGGTAATAATTATGCCCATCTGTATACCGGCTACCAGCCATTGTTCTGTGTTTTCTGTATTTATAATACCGTTTTTAGGTGACTTCCAGTTAGTCAAAAACTTCCTTAAAGAATATCCCTGTTCTGCATGTCATAATGAAAATTTCTACAAGTGCAGCATCCAATACCTAAACACATATGCAGCAAGTCTATTCTTATCGTTATTAATTGTGATACGTTTATATTAAATGCTAAAAGTTTTATAAATGATTTATGGCACTAGAAATATTCTAAAACAAGGTAGTATCTACGGTGGCATAAAGGGACATAGAATTTTCTTATTAATTACGTGCGCACACGATAGCTATTACGTGGCTACGCGATACTATTACGTGCGCACGCGATAGCTATTACATGCCCACGCGGATATGTATTCGCATTTGGAACCTGACCGGGGTCCTCGCATCAAAAGTTCGACGCCCCGTGTATGTGTCGAACCTACAGCGGTAGGGAGCTTGTGTTTTTTTGGAATCACTCGGCCACGGAAGCCCTTAAATGATCTATGGAAGAAAATAAGAAGACCATTACACACGTATTTTGTTTTCATCAGAAATATATGTAGAAAAAATAGTCATTTTCCAAGAATTGCGGCTTTCAGATCCGCCATTGAAAAAGCACTTACAACATGCATGAGTTTCTAAAATAATCCGGGTGATGGCATAATTAAGGAATATCGGGCCACTCAGAATCGGGCGAGATGCGACTTTTCAATAAGACACGAAGCGAGGCACGATAGTTCAACACGAGATCTCGCAATGTCGAAGTATTCCGTATCACGAGATTTCAGAACTGAATATTTTTTTACTTCTTTAGATAGGGCAAGTATGAATTTATTAGTATTCAAATAATGATTTCTGAGAATTGACTTCAATACAAAATTCTAAATCACTCAACTGTACAAACTGCAAAAAAGCAGCAGATGAAAAATGCTTCATGTAATTAGCCAATAAGTAACTTTTTGGGGCTATAAAATATACCAAAAATAAAAAAAGCTTTTGAGGAATACAAATAAAAGCATTTCTCAGGCATAATGGGCCTTTAAGTGATTCTAATGTAGACTATAAAGGGAATACTACTTAGCGGTATATGACCTGGAATCAATTTCTTGTCTCACGTCGACGAACGAGATGCGAAGCGAGACGCGAGATTTCGGCGAGATGCGAAACGAGTTACGATATTGTATCATTCAATATCAACCGATTACGGTGTTCTGTTTGGACATAAGTAACATTTTTGTCTCCCTGAACAGCTATGCACAACGGTACAAAGGTGAATTTGAGATGGTACGATGGTACGATGATTAAAACACGATGGCACGATGGTGAAATCACGATGATGCGATGTCACGATAGAGAAAAAAATATTGCGTTTTCATTATCATGCAATCGCAGTTTCATCATATCGTATCATCGTATTTTCACCATCGTAACATCGTCTTTCACCATAGTACTATCACGTTTTCATCATCGAGCCTTCGTTGTTTCACAATCGTACAATCGCTTTTTCTTCATCGTACCGTTGTGTTTTTACCATCGCACCATCGCGTTTTCATCAACGTACCATCGTGCCATCGCGCTGTCACCATTGTACCATCATGAACGGGATTTAGTATGTGTCACTGTTCGCCTTAAGGTTAAGCCAATCAATTTCTTGAATTAGAGATATTATAGTTAATATTTACTTTAGGTTTTCATAAAGAAAGAATAAGCAAACCTATTGATGATTACACTTGACATGAGGTAATACGGCGAACCTCGATTCCAAAAAAGAATTTCTGTCGTGTGGAAATATGTGACAAATAATTCATAAAAAATGACATGAGACAAATGTGCTTTCTTGTCCCTTAAAAACACATGAGACAAATGTGCTTTCTTGTCACTTAAAAAACTTGATCGGAGCAAATTTGCCGCACAAATGAGTTTTTATGGGTAGATATTTGAGGTCCCATTTGTCTCATGTGGGACAAATGCGACCGCATCGGTCTTACGTAAGACAAATGTGCTCCGAGACAAATGTGCTCCTACAATGCTTTCTCCCTGCAAAAAATACTATAAGAAATACATTTTCTTCTATCGTCTCCACTTTGTTGCTTGTGCATCCCTTAATCAAAGAAGAAATTTCAAAATATCAAGATGTGGCGTCATACAGGGCATCAAGATTTTCTAAATATACTAGACTTCAATATAAAGTTCAATATCGTCAACGAAAGAAGTTAGTGCTGCGTTCTCCTTTATTTTCATATAGAAACTGGAGAAATGAGCCTGATAATTACGATGAACAAGACTGCTGTGCTATAAATTCATACGGTCTACTGAGCGACGAATATTGCAAAAGCAAACTTGGATTTATTTGTTCCTACCCTATTAAAAGAGGTACGTATTATCTAAATAACCCCATAAAATAATTAGCCTTTGACACAAGTATAGAGTGCGGCCAGCATAACATACTAACCTTATATGTACATTTAATTACTTATACATGTAACTTTCCAGTAATATTTTTTAAGTAAAAATCCATAAAACAGTGACTTTCTTGTTTTTGTTCGTTTGTTGTTGTTTTTTTGTGTATGTTTTTCTTTTTTTGTCCACCTATTTTTACAGGAGACGAATGCCCATCCGGAGATAATTCTCGTTGGTTAATGACTGATACTACTTGCTTCTATATATCATCACTACTGGACAGCACTAAGCATCTCTCCTGGAATGATGCCAATACTTACTGTAAGAATCTTTCACCTACTCATGGTGCAAAGTTGATGTCAATCCTTTCTGCAGACGACATGGTAATGCTTTTAAATACGAACTTGAACACTCAATATAAGGAAACTTAACGATTCATTAGATGAGTATGTTCTATAATGTATTTTAAGAGGATACCAATGTATGTAGCTCTATATTCTGTAAAAGTTATAGTTTTTATAAGATTATGGTGTTCATTTTTGTGACTTCTTCTGTTATAATGATTGTGTCTTCTCTGAATGTTGTTTCTTCTTTTTTCATCATTTTAGCTAATTATTTTGTGCATATATTCTTTCACGTGCATTCACTGCTGTTATTTTGACATCAGATTCAAATAACCGTAAAACTGTATCTCTTCCGATTTCTTTGCTTTCTTTGTGTTCATTTGGGATAACCTGTGGCAAGCATTTTCTTGGTAGAATAGGCAATGTCTTGCGCACCGACCTATCCTACATAGCTGGCGTGTTTTCATTTTAATAATGTTTTCCATAGTTGTATCATTGATTTCCATATTTTCCAGGATTAATTGTTGATACTTGTTTCATCTTGTATGAACTCTTCATTTCTTTGAGTATCTGTAACACGTGGCATATCATCACCTAAATATCCTGACAATTCCGTTAACCGTTTTCTATACTATGGGAAACTTTCAGCACTTCTTTAATTTCATCTTTTGTAACACCATTTAGCACGTTCGTTCACATAGTGTTATATTTAAAATCTCTAGTTTACTTGATTTTTTTTCTTGAATGTGTGTTTCCATATTATTCTGGTACGACATCAAATGTTTCCTTCTTTTCCTTGTTGCTATTCGTCCTCGACAAGAGTAAAATAATAAAACGTGATAAATGTTCATTGTGCAGTCTTAAACTTGTCATATATCTTCTTTTGTCCAAGTATGAATCATATCTTTAAATTAATTATAACAAATTTATGACAATTTAAGCCAATTACAATAATTTGACATAGAAAGTCAATGTCATTTGAGGTCAAAGTCATATCAGAATAATTCTACATTTCTGTGAATGTGTTATTTTGTCTATATATGAATCAAATCTGTAAAGTAAGCAAACTTAAATAATTTGGCTTTGACGGTCAAGGTCAATTAAAGGTCAAAGGCATATCAGAATAAATCAACATTTCGGTCGTTATATGTGTTATTTTGTCCAAGTATGAATCAAACTTGTAAATAAATAACGTTATAACAATTTAAGCACATTACAATAATCTAACTTTGACGCTCAATGTTAATTTAAGGTCATATCAGAATAATTCAACATTTCGGTTTTGTCATGTGTGTTTTTTTTATCTTAGTATGAATCAAATCTGTAAATAAATAACAAAAGTTAAGACAATTTAAACAAATTTCCGTGACGCTCAATGCCAAATAATGGTCAAGGTCATAATTGAACATATTCAACATATGGGTTTTGTCATAAGGATGTTATTGTCAAAGTATATAAATCAAATCAATAATATTAATATATAGCACGGTTATTGCCAAATGAAGCAAAATTCATTAATTTGACATTAAGTGTCAATGTCAAATTAAGGTCAGTCCATGTCAATTTTTAAGGTAATGTCAAGTTTGATTAAGTCTTCTTTAATGTCTTGTCCCAAGGATCGTTATACACAAGTATGAAGACAATGTATTTTATAATTACAAAATTATAGCCAATTATAGCAAAGAACTTTCCCATTACAATATTTTGACCTTCACTATTAAGATTATTTATAGATCAACGTCAAATTAAATTTAATCTTTTTTTAAATCATTTTGCTTACGGTAGTTGTGCTCAAGTTTGAAGACATTCCATTCAAAAATAACAAAGTTTTAGCCATTTATAGCAAAAATCAAGAAAATATCATAAATATGACTTTGTAGGTTAAAGTCATTTATGAAAAAGTAAAGGTAATAATCAACTTAAGCTAGTTAAACGTGTTGTCCAAAGGATTATTGTGTCGAAGTATGAAAACACAACCCACTTATAAATAATAAAAAAAAGAAATAGCCTATTACGTGTATATAAAAAGGTCATTTTATGAGTCGAAGTCATGTTCAGTCTGGTTTACTTGAATGTCTTGTCCAAATGAATCTTATATCCAAGTATGAAAACAATCTATCAAGAAAAAAAGACCTACGTTAAAGTTGCTGGCGACAACGACAATCTGACTGTAGTAATGGCTCTTCGAAAAAATTAAGCTAAAATGGTATCTAAGAAAATGACAACAACTCCATAGTTTAAATTCTGGCAGTGAATTAACAATATTCATTATAAGGAGGGAAATATATTAAAATAAATTTATTATATGGCCTCAAATGTGTGATTATAAACAGTATTTACTGTAAAAGCATTGATTGATAGATTGTGTCATATGGTCGTTATTCTTTAAGTTAAGCGGCACGCAGCCTGTTTATGACCGTTCTGCCACAAACTCGAAACTTGCCACAAACTTGTTCCAGTAGAGTTCCTTAGAAGATCAGCTAACTTTCTACTTGACATGAATCTGCTACCTGCTTACTGTAGTCTGTACCTTATTGACGAGTCATGCCGATTAAACCAGCTAATAGCATTTCCGCTGCTCTCAGACGTTCTTCTTACGTCATTCCAGGGCGACGTCCCATGACTGATTTTCAAACCTTCATTGAAGCGTTTTTGCTTTTCAGTGAAAAAGATGTTCACTAATGTGTTCTTCAGCACAAGCTAAATGATAGTAAACTAGCTCTGCACGCACCGCACGTGCAAATGTGTTTTTAATAATAAATTTTTGAAGTACTCAAATATAATCTTTAAATCAGAGAGGAGACCCACACATCATACTTGTGCTGAACATGTTTAATTTGATAGAAAGTGAGATTTATATGGTGGCTGATTTGTGTCATTCGTGTTTTCGACCCGCGACCCCGCCAAGCGAAAAGTCGATAATTTACAAGTTAAAATGGCGGGATGCCGTCGCGGATGCGGATAATAAACGGACAAAAGGTCTAGACTCAACGTATTCATTAACTCGAACATGTTTATATTGTTCCTCTTGAACCTGGGAGTACTGTTCCTTATTCGAACTTTGGAATTCTGTTCTTCATTCGAGCCTAGGAATAGTGTTCCTCAGCTTTACTGACTGAGTTACCTGGTCACTTACACATTCTCTGCTGTCCGAATAATGGTAGTTTTACCAATTGAATACACGAGAGTTCTTTTTTTCTTTATTTTAGAGAAGTCTGAAGTCCCTCTTGTCGTCATTCAATAAGCCCGGGGTGCTGCTTCCCTGGTGGACATCACTTAATGATCAACAAACAGAAGGGTCGTACGTCTGGGGACTTAATGGACCTCAGGCAAATGGTTCAATTATGTACGTATGTTCTTTCTTGGAAATGTAATTTGACCAATTGTTCTAACTTCATACTCTCATAATGTATCAATGCATTGCTTAACAGACTTACAAATAAGCCGTTTGCAGAAGATTACTCCGAGGTAGGTATCCTCTTTCACGTTTGTCAAAAGTAAGTTGTTTACCTTGACTGCATTAGTCTTTTGCTAAGATGACAGTGTGAGCAGGGGTGTACTTGATTTTATGATATACATGATATATATGTATTTGTAATGTGAACTTGTGTCGCCCTATTGTTTACGCTGGTTTTCTATGTGTCTGCGACTGACGACTGACGTTCCTATCTTCGTTTCTATGCATACGATACTTGATTTTCACCACAAAAATGTGTCTGATTAGTTGTTTTTAGAACATTTTATTACGTTACTTGAAATAGGAGGATGTTTCGGTGTCGATCCCGTTATTGTGACTTTTTGAAAAATAATAAAGAAACAATTTTGAAAAAGCAATGTTTCAAAGAGTATATCATTTTGAGACTGTTTACATAGTAAACATAATACCTTAATGCAGCGCTAGAACTAAGTGTGTAACTTTAAGCAGTTTCCTTTTCATTCTTTAACACTGGCATAACTTGATCTAATTTTCTTTAGAAAATTTTAGTCGACCCAGCTTTTATGCTTGTGTATATGTCAACTGAGAGATTACAGTGAACCTTTTAGCAAACGATGAGGTTAAAATAAATATATTGCTGAGTGCCTTTTAAAGATCAATTTCAAACAGAAACAATACACAGAAATGCTATCATTTTTATTTCCAAAAAAAACTTTCTACTTTTTGTATGCTTTACAGTTTTCAAAAAGATACTCATTTACAATCTTTTACTTCCTTTGCTCTGTTGACAACCGGTATAAAAAGATATATTCACATAGTGAATGTGTATTTTGTATGGAAGTAAAAATATTACTTTATTTACAGTTTGCTACCTTTACGACACATAACTGCACTTTTCAGCGAAACTTTTTTCAGTTATTAGTCTTTAGGTTTAACCATTCGTCTGTCTGTCCGGGCAAATATCCAATGGTCTGTGAGCTCCATTCTGTCCATAATCTTAATTAATAAAGAAGGAAATCCCATAAACCGGCAAGTTTATGTGGTAATTTTACTGGTTTATGTGGAACAGTGCCACATAAAAATCAAAGAAAAAGCACATTAACCACAGATGTTTGCACATCCATCCGCCCTTCAGTCCGTCGGTCTGTCCGTCCACAAACCTGGATCCCGTTATAACGTAAAAGTACTGAAAATATTTTTATGAAACTTGATATATGGATAGATGTCAGTCTTGAGATTGTGTATACATTTTTTTTATTTCATCCTATGGTGAAAAATATGGCAAAAATATGCTGAAAATATGGCAAATATTTCTGTGAACTATTAATAAAGGTACTGAAAACATTTTTATGAAACTTAAAATATGGATACATGACAGTATGGAGATTATACACATCATTTTAATCTTGACTATAGGGAGTAGCTGTCCTACTCACAAACCATCGGCGACCTCGTCAAGATTTCGGATTCAAGTTTTTACGCCATTTTACTATAAGCTCTTTATTTCTGAAGGTATAAATTTAAGCTATAGTGTCACTAACATGGTAGACGTCCGGGGTGATCCAGGGACGACCGGGGTACGACCGGGAACAACCGAAGTACATCCGTATCTCTGCCGGCAACGTTCGGGATGATCCGGGAACATCCGGCATTCGACCCCGGATGGAATAAAATATTTAATATCGCCGTGTTGGTACGGGATGATCCGGGAAGTATAGCTTTTCCGGCTTCATCCTAAGCTCTGCCGGGAACGACCGGGGTAACACCGATGAAGCACTGTAGCTCTGCCGGGGCATAATATAGCCGGTAGAGCTACGGTAGAGCCCCGGTGAATGCTGGTAGAGCTAGTCATTCTTTAACTTTCTTATTTCTTCATGGATTTACTTCAAATTGATATTATCAACACCTACATCATATGTGATTTGATTTATCAGTCATGGATTTCCATGATTATTTTAATTTTGAACTTGAAATTATTTAAAAATTGTTTTTTGCTTTTTTTTCTTGTTTTATTTATTTATTTTATTTTCTTCTTTGTTCCTATAAATGGAATACATTTTGTATTTGAAAATTGTTAATTATTCACTTTCTTCATTGTGACTATAAATTCATAAGATAATTGTTTTTTGTTACACTCACATCATGTATGACAGTGTTCATAAGTCTAGCAACTTCATTTCAAGAGGTATCTCCTCTTTAGTTAAAAATGCTTTTAAAAATGTTGTACTCTAGTAACAATCAGGTATGTTTAAAGATTTACCCTCAGAGTGTTTTTATAGTCCGTCTATCTGTTCGTTTCTAAAAACTGAGATATATCTCCTGAGATCAACAAATTCACTTAAAACAGAGAAACGTTGAAACATTAGTTAAACATATACATCATGAGAAAATTGGATCTTTTGATTATCTGTTGTATCAACATAATTTCCTTAATAGGCAAGGAAACTTAACCATTGTTAACACATTACTAAGATAAAGACAAACTAAGAACTCAAAAGATTTAAGTTCGTTCATTCGTTCATTCATTCGTTCGTTCGTTCGTTCGTTCGTTCGTCATTCATTCATTCATTCATTCATTCATTCATTCATTCATTCATTCATTCAATCAATGGCATAATTCAATAACTAATGGCCCTTCAGAATGTTGCTGGGGTTCTAACAGGTAGGGGACTTATGGATTGCTTGCAATACTATGACAAGTAAAATGGTTTCCTGCGGTGAACATTTTAATGATATATATAAAGATATTTCTTTTAACTATTTTCAACATTATTTGGGGGGGGGGATAAATAAACGTTTGTATCAGGGATAAAGTTGAATAAACGATCACTATGGAAGAAGGTCTTTGGAAACTGGTGACCGTTGAAGACCGGAGAAGGTCGAGCATAAAACAATTATTTCTTTTTAAGAAAATGATTAAATAGGCCTTCATTTTATGAATAATTCCGAGCAAAAAATAAATAAAGTAAACACACAAGTTTACGCAGAAAATATCTCTATTTATTATGGCTGATGCCACTACGAATATTTTAATTTTGTAGATTTTCAGTATAAACAATTTATTGTTTGTAAAGTTTGAGATAGATATTAAAGAAACATTGATAATTTTCAAACATATCATTCAAGTTTTTTCCAACTTTAACGGTAAAATAATTATAGAAAATTAGAAATAAACACCGATAAACACTTTCAGAACTAGCAGACGACTGGCTGATCATATCAGTAAAGATAACGGATTGCGTATCTCACTGTATAAATCGTATGTAAAATGGTCTGACATATGGTAGGTTTAACAGTTAATTAAAATACTTTGAAGTCCAAAGATGTGTTGAATTTTATACAGTGACGAAGCTAAGATCCAAAGTTTTCTATTGGTGTAATACATTTTAAAATCGGACATTTAATCACAACAAACTAGCGGTTTAAACAGCTTATTTTGTATTGTTTTAGCATAAGCGATATCGATTTTACTCGAAGATAAGGGAAGCAACTCGCTTTTTTTCACTCGATATACCTCGGTTATTTACGTAGATCATATTGAAAGTGTTTACAGGTAAATCCGTAACGTACCGGCAAACGGTATTTAGCTAGGTTTTCGAAAAGGTCAATTGACCAATCATGTACGGTTTACAGATCACATGCTCCTCCATGTACCGAAAACAGGTCACGTGCTCCTCCATGCCTCAAAAGTTAAACGCGTACCAATACCCTGCGGTCTCCAGACCGCAGGGAATAATTGCTTATCAAACATCTAGTATGTTCTAAATCCATTATTAAAACAATATTTAACATATGTTCCGACATTTTTAAAGAATGAAAAAATAGATGTCTGAGGCATAACATGCCTATCATTAAAACAAGTGCGTTGTCACTAAATTACCATTGTTTAAATGCTTCCAGAAAACAAAACAGGAAGTTAAGAAATGAAATTTTAAACATATGATCAGCCATATGACCAGTTTACTTTTTACTACGGTGTTCTTTTTGGACAATCGTAGTCTGTACCGCGATGCACGATGGAACGATGGTGAAAACGCGATGGTACGATGGTGAAAACACGATGGTACGATGATGAAAACGCGATAGTACGATGGTGAAATCGCGATGGCGCGATAGTACGATGGTGAAAACGCGATGTTACATTGCGTTTTCACCATCGTACCATCGTGTTTTCACCATCGTACCATCGCGTTTTCACCATCGTACCATCGCGCCATCGTTGGTGAAAACGCGATGGTACGATGGTGAAAACACGATGGTAAGGTGGTGAAAACGCGATGGTACGATGGTAAAAACTCGATGGCACGATGGCGAAAGCGCGATGGTACGATGGTGTAAACGCGATGGTACGATGGTGAACGCGCGATGGCACGATGGTGAAAGCGCGATGGCACGATGATGAAAACACGGTGGTGCGATGGTGAAAACATGATGTCGCGATGGTGAAAACGCGATGGCACGATGATGAAAACGCGATGGTACGATGGTGAAAACACGATGGTGCGATGGCACGATGGTGAAAACGCGATGGTACGATGCTGAAATCACGATGGTACGATGGTGTAACATCGCGTTTTCACCGTCGTACTATCGCGCAATCGCGATTTCACCATCATACCATCGCGTTTTCATCATCGTACCATCGTGTTTTCACCATCGTACCATCGTGCCATCAAGTTTTCACCATCATACTATCGTGCATCGCGGTAACAGACTAAATTAAAAATCACGACTGTCCAAACGGAACACCGTACTCTTTTACAGAAATAGCAATTGGGATGTAGCACCAAGTGCCGACCGAACTCAAAATAGAAATTGTGGGATTATGTATCAGGGTGGCTCCATTGATGACGTCACATGTGACAAACGTTCACATTACATATGCGAAATGTCGGCATACCAAGGTAAGTAATCTTTTAATCTTCTACGGTAAATATCAATACAAAAAAATTAACAAAAATATATTGCAGATACTTGCCTATATGAGAAAGGCGTATTGTCCGTTATTCAACATTCACAAAATTATAAAATTCATGTTGCAAAATGAAATGCTAATCATTTAAGCGACCCTATGTAGGAAAACCAGTTATTATGCTTATTGCTTTTGATTTAGAATAATTTTAAATTGCAAACGCCTTTGGTATGTACAAAATGTATAACCATCCTTATGGTCTAGGTCATTTAAACCTTGGTTGCGGATCTTGGATACGAGCCGGACAGTCTTGTTATCTGTTGGGTAATGGCAAAGGTTACACATGGAACCAGGCGCGTGATCAATGCGCTCGTGCAAACGCCCAACTCGTAAAAGTAGATGGATTCGACGAAAAGGTAAGTAAACGAAAAAAACTGATAATAATAAATAAATGAAAATAAAATATGATCAAGTTTAAAGTGTGTATCTACTGTGACGTTTCAATCACATAATTCAAGTGAATTTATTACATAATGTGAGGTTACTACAATTAATTACAAATTAAGGATCGCTTGTTCTCAGCAACTGAAAAAATGCACGAATATGCACCTAAGATATTTCTCCATCAAGCTAAGAAGTCGCCATATGACCTTTACAATGTCGACGGGACTTAATTAAAACATAACAAACTTCCCATATTATATAAATTTGATTTCTCTAGTTTCGAATGTTTTTTTTTTTTTTAATTTAAACACTAGCTATGTATTTGTAACAAAGTATTTGGTTTTTCGTGTTGACAGGTTTGGTTAGAGGGTCTTAATTTGGGCCCAGGAGGCTACTGGACAGGTCTTACTCGAGTTCAAAATAGCTATGGGTGGGCTTGGCAAGATAGTTCTGTCGCTACGCCAGCTTTAATGTAAGTATACAATAATACATTCGAAAAGTAAAAAATGCTGTGATTATGGATAATTACCTAGGAGTTCCTATGTCATGAAACTTCCTTTTTTATTGTCAAACCGAAAGTTATTTGCCAATAAAAACTACGCTTTGTAGGAGCATATTTGTCTCGGAGCACATTTGTCTTAAGTCAGACCGATGCAGTCATATTTGTCCCACATGAAACAAATGGACTTCAAATGTCTCCCCCCTCCCCACAACAAAACAACAACAACAACAAAAAAAGTGACATGTGACAAATGTGCTCAAAGATGTAACAAATGTGTTCCGATCAAGTTTTTTAAGAAACAAGAAAGCACATTTGTCTCATTTATTAACCTTTAACCTCACATAGGCGGGTTTTGACGGCTTTTCACCCCGCCCCCTTTTGAAGCCTAAAATAGTGAAAATATGTCCTATTTAGGCCCCAACTACTGTTCCTCGTTTGAAAAATTTCGTTCATAAAAGTGATTACTTTTTTGGCGCCGCCCCTATCAAAAAAAGGTACATCAAGGGGTGCCAGAAGGCGGGGGGGTGGTTGTGCCCTCTTCTGTTAGGCGGTTTGAAGGGGGCGCTATCCCCGTCATCGCCAAGAAAAATTTGGACTTGTGAGGGGCTTAAAAAAGGTCTCAGGTTGATCTTAAGGTAACATGTACATGTAACTCACGCTGAAAAGCTTTTGACTCTATCTCAATTCATTGAGAAGTTGCAGCACTTTGTATTCAGTGTTGATGGGGAAAAATAAGGCAAAATAGTGATTTTTGGCAATTTTCAGACGTCCCCCAATTGCCATGGTAACAGGAAATATAAGTTTGAGCATGCTGTTAAAAAAGGCTATGGTCCAGTCGACAGTTGTGCCAAGTTTGATCAGTTTTGAAGCACATAGCAGTTTGAACTTGTAACCGAAGGCTTTTCAATGAAAACAGCCATTTTTCGCAATATGCTCATGCGGTTAAAGGTTTAAAGGGACAAGAAAGCACATTTGTCTCATATCGTTTTTAGCTCACCTGTCACAAAGTGACATGGTGAGCTTTTGTGATCGCTTTTCGTCCGGCATTTGTCCGTCGTCCGTCCATCGTCCGTAAACTTAAACTTTAAACGACATCTCCTCATAAACCGCTGAGCCAATTTCATTCAAAGTTTACAGGAATGTCTCTTTGGTGGTCATCTTTCAAAATTGTTCAAAGAATTTAATTCCATGCAGATCTCTTGTTTTCATGGCTAACAAAAGAAAAAACCTGAAAAAAAATCTTCTTTTAAAATACCGAAAGAGCCCGAGCTTAGATATTTGGCATGCAACATCTTCTAGTGAGTGTCTACCACGTTTGTTTGAATAAAAGCCCTGGAGTTAAAATTGGCCCCGTCCCAGGGGGTCATTGTTTTTCCATATATGCACAAAGTAAAAACTTAAAAAATCATCTTTAAAAAAAAACAAGAGCTATATCTTAGATATCTAGCATGACACATTTTTTAATGGATGTCTACCAAGTTTGTTCAAATAAATGCTCTGGGGTTAAAATTGGCTCCGTCCCAGGGGTCATTTTTCCCCATATGTATAAATTAAAATCTTAAAAAAAAATTCTTTTAAAACAACCAAAGAGCTAGAACTTAAATATTTAGCATGAAATGGGTGTCTACCATGTAAAAATTCTTTTTTTAAAAAACCTAAAGAGCAAGTGCTTAGATATAAAGCATGTTACATCTTCTAATGGGTTTCTACCAAGTTTGTTCAAATAAATGCCCTTGGGTTAAAATTGGCCCCGCCCCGGGGGTCATTGTTTTCCCTATAAGTATATAGTAAAAACTTAAACAAATTTCTTTTAAAAAAACCCGAAGAGCTAGAACTTAGATATAAAGCATGTTACATCTTCTAATGGGTGTCTATCATGTTTGTTCAAATAAATGCCAAGGGTTAAAATTGGACCCGTCCGGGGGGTCATTGTTTTCCCTATATGTGTATAGTAAAAATCCTTTAAAAAAACAAAGGGCTAGAGCTTAGATATTTGGCATGAAATATCTTTTAGTGAGTGTCTACCAACTTTGTTCAAACAAAAGTCCTGGGGTCAAAATTGGCCCCGCCCCAGGGGTGTCATTGTTCTTCGATATATGTAAATAGTAAAGACTTTAAAAACCTTCTTTCAAAAAACCTAAATAGCTAGAGCTTAGATATTTAGCATGAAGATCTTCTAATGGGTGTTTACCAATTTTGTTTACCGCCCCGAAGTCATTGTTTTACCTATATGTATATAGTAAAAACTTAAAAATCTTCTTATAAACAACTCAAAGAGCCAGAACTTAATTATTTAGCATGCAACATCTTCTAATGGATGTCTATCAAATTTATTCAAATAAATGCCCTAGGGTTTAAATTGGCCCCGTCCTAGGGGGTGATTGTTTTTCCACATAGGTATAGAGTAAAAATTTTAAAAATCTTCTTTTACAAAACCCAAAGAGCTAGAGCTTAGATATTTAGCAAGAAACATCTTCTAATAGGTGTCTATCAAGTTTGTTTAAATAAATGCACTAGGGTTAAAATTGGCCCCGCCCCGGGGGTCATTGTTTTCCCTATATCTATTTAAACAGAAAACAGCTTAAAGTAAAACGTATATGGCCATGCAGTGTGAAAAAATAGTGTCTAATAACCTGTCTGCCATTACGCGACAAGGCCAGTTGTTCCTCTACCATAGTCAGGCCTTTGAAAATCACAGCGCGATATTTTAACGACAGATACGAAAAGCGAAATTCCTTCAAAACATGAACCGACAATTACATTGTTCTATGCAGGAGTAGAATTTTATAAAGAATGTGAGACAAATGTGCTTAAAGTGTCCTTTCTATTGTGTGTCGAACACATCTTTCTCATTTCCATTTTGTCACACATATGTATGTTTACTAGCACATCGGTCACATCTCGTGAGAAAAATGTGCTCCGAGACAAATTTACTCCTACATCACTTTCCATAGTTTTTGGAATGTACTAACTAAAGCTGGTAGCCATTTGATTATGTATACACAGACATTATGGTGTAAAATCTATTTAAGCTCATGTATTATATATTAATCATTTTCAACAGCGTGAAAAAGTATGTTATGCAATCGGTAATTATAGATGTAAGAGCAGAATGTAAACTGACCTCACCCTGACTTTATAATTTATTATGCCCCATGTAATGGCCGGGGCATATAGTGTTACCCTGTTCCGTCCTTCCGTCATTCCGTCCTTCCGTCATTCCGTCATTCTGTCATTCCGTCATCATCTGTTTCCATTCATTATCTTAGTAACGATTGCACACATTCAACTAAAACTTGACATATGGATATGTCATGAGAAAATACAGGTCAAGTTCGAATTTGGTCATGGTTTGATGATTTTTGGCAGAGTTATGCCCCTTTTACTTTTAAAATAATATGAAATTTTCAGTTTCCGTTCATTATCTCCCCAACGGTACAACACATTCAACTCAAACTTGACATATGGATATGTCATAATAAAATACAGGTCAAGTTCGAATTTGGTCATGGTTCGATGATTTTTGGCAGAGTTATGCCCCTTTTACTTTGAAAATAATATGAAATTTTCAGTTTCCGTTCATTATCTCCCCAACGGTACAACACATTCAACTCAAATTTGACATATGCATATGTCATGATAAAATACAGGTCAAGTTCGAATTTGGTCATGGTTCGATGATTTTTGGCAGAGTTATGCCCCTTTCACTTTGAAAATAATATGAAATTTTCAGTTTCCGTTCATTATCTCCCCAACGGTACAACACATTCAACTCAAACTTGACATATGGATATGTCATAATAAAATACAGGTCAAGATCGAATTTGGTCATGGTTTGATGATTTTTGGCAGAGTTATGCCCCTTTTACTTTGAAAATAATATGAAATTTTCAGTTTCTGTTCATTATCTCCCCAACGGTACAACACATTCAACTCAAACTTGACATATGGATATGTCATAATAAAATACAGGTCAAGTTCGAATTTGGTCATGGTTTGATGATTTTTGGCAGAGTTATGCCCCTTTTACTTTGAAAATAATATGAAATTTTCAGTTTCCGTTCATTATCTCCCCAACGGTACAACACATTCAACTCAAATTTGACATATGCATATGTCATGATAAAATACAGGTCAAGTTCGAATTTGGTCATGGTTCGATGATTTTTGGCAGAGTTATGCCCCTTTCACTTTGAAAATAATATAAACTTTTCAGTTTCTGTTAATTATCTCCCCACAGGTACAACACATTCAACTCAAATTTGACATATGGATATGTTTTTGAAATGCCCAGGCCAAGATCGAATTTGGTCATGGTTCAATGATTTTTGGCAGGGTAAAGCCCCTTTCACTTTGAAAATAATATGAAATTTACAGTTTCTGTTCATTATCTACCGAACAGTGTTACATATTCAACTCAAATTTGACATATGGATATGTCAAAGGAATGGGCAGGTCAAGTTTGAATTTGGTTATGGTTCGATTATTTTTGGCAGAGTTATGTCCCTTTCACTTTGAAAATAATATAGATACATCTTAGGAATAAGCAGTTTAAGTTTGAATTTGGTCGTGGTTCAATGATTTGGGACAAACTTATCTTTCTTGAATGTTGGAAAAATTTTGAACTTTCAGTTTCAGCACTCATACTTTTGTCGAAATGTGTGTAGCCATTATTTTGGCTACAAATATGAAATATGCTATTTTCAAAAGGTTAAGACTAAATAATTTCAGTGCCTTGAACATTGTATTGAAATGGTTTGTGTTAACATTGAAAAGTTTTAAGAGCTTTGAACTTAAAATGAAAAAAATAATTTGTGCAAACAAATTTGGAACTAAATATTATAACATCTGAAATTTTGGCTGCATGCGGGGGCATCCGTGGCATGATGACACATTTCTAGTTTAAAACTACTTTGATCATATCTAATATTTGACGGAAAGTGGTTAGATATCTTAAGTAAAAGAAATGATAAGGTGCTATTTTCTTATAGTACATAACACTAAATGAACAGATAATGATTTTAGTAAATGGAGTACGGAGCCGAATAACAATGGTGGTATTGAAGATTGTGTAGAGATACATACCGACGGTCTCTATAATGATCGACAATGTGACGCTAAAGTTGGCTATATCTGCGAGTACACACTCCAGTATGGTGAGTAGAAAACAAGAAGCATTAAAAGATTGTGTCTCAACAGTAAACATAAAAGAGACAAAAACAACAACAACAAAAAGAAAACCAAAAACAAAACAGCATAATAATTATGATAGAAATTTCTGATAGAAATAATATAATTGTGGTATTTGTATTATTTTTGAAAGTTACAACCATAAATATAATTTTGTGTCTGAACGATACACATGTATGATGCACCGTTGCCTAATTTATGGCAGCAACCGGAAAGTCCGCACCGTTGTTAGGTGTCTGCCCCGTTGTTGAGACGAAACATTTAGATACAACAACGAGTTACTAAGTCGTGGCCACGAGATAATTAAGTCGTGGGAACGAGATACTCTGTCGTGGCCACGAGTTACTAAGTCTAAGTCACTATAACCTAGTTATATCGTGGCCACGACTAAGTTACTCGTGGCCGCGACATAATATCTCGTGCGCACGAGATGAATAAAAACACACACACATGTCACCTTTGTGACACCGTAGGCTTTGGATTATAAACATTGTCTTATAAGTTTCCCCATAGAAAGAAATCTAATGTACTCTTATAAACTTAATTCAATAAGTGCCTCTTGTACGGAGATTGACTAAAACATTTACCATTTCTCTCGGTTCGAATTTCAGATGTATTTATTCACCAAAGTTTTTAGTAAATTTTACATTTACATTGTATATCATACGTAACATACATGGTGATAATATTCATCGTATAGTAAATTTGTTTTGACGTAATATTCATCAATTCTTCTACATAAATGATAAAATGACACGTTACTTCGTGTTGTTTGTCGATTCTCCAACTCTGAATGTACAAGAGATATTTACTTCAAATTTTGTAGGTGGATAGATCAAAATGAGTAGAAGTGCAGTGAATAAGTACAGTAACCCTCCCTTCCCTTATTTTAGTTATTTCATTCGTTCATTTTTACACTTTGAACTTTGTCCGGGACATAACTTTTGAACTATAAAAGATATCAACTTAAAACTTTGTATGTAGATAAATCTTACTGTGTAGAAGTGCAATGAATAAGGACCGTAACCCACCTCTTCCCTTATTTTAAAGTTATTGTCCTTTGTTGATTTTTAACTTTGATTTTTGTCCTAGATATAACTTGAGAACTGGTATCAATATGAAACTTTCACTGAGTAGAAGTGCAGAAATCTCGTGTTGCCCTTAAAAGAAGTCATCAAAACTCCACAATCAAACTTTAATTTATCTCATTGGTGGTGGACAAATAATTAAAAAACATTTGAAAAAAATCTATAAACTACTGCATTTTCCATATGTGCACAATTATTAATTTAAAAGCACGTTTTCTGACAAGGGCGTGTCGGGGGTATTCGGCACTTGTGACAATTTCTTGTTTTAAATGCTTTAACCAATATATCTCCAAGATCTTTCAAAAGTTGGACATTTAATTACTTAACATGCTTAAATAACGTTTCCGACATTTAATGCGTATTACTGCTTCAAATCAAAGAAATCGAAGCCTGAAATTATTTTCAGCGAGTTGTACAGTTTGAATGTATCATTGTGCGACCTTCTTGATACATTGTAACGTGCACCAAGAAAAGGAAAAGTTGGCCCTATCTTTATATTACATACTTCATCTTTCTTGTGTGAAACCACATAGCTCAGAAATTTATATGATCTGCTTTTGCATTGAAGAGTTATTGTCCCGGTAAGATATTTTTGGCCCCGATATCCTTATTGGCTTGGTAATTATTATGCCCTCCTTCAAAGAAGTGGGGGTATATTGCTTTGCATTTGTCTGTCGGTCCGTCCGTCCGTCTGTCGGTCCGTCGACCAAATGATTTCCGAGTGATATCTAAAGAACGCTTAGGCCTAGGAACTTCAAACTTGGTATGATGATTGTTCATGACCAGTAGATGACCCTATTGCTTTTGGGGTCAAAGGGTTAAAGGTCAAGGTCACATTAACCTTGTAGGGAAAAACGAGTTCCGAGTGATAACTAAAAAACGCTTAGGCCTAGGAACTTCAAACTTGGTATAATAATTGTTCATGACCAGCAGATGACCCCTATTGATTTTGGGGTCAAGGAGCCAAAGGTCAAGGTCACATTGACCTTTTAGGTAAAAACGGTTACCGAGTGATAACTAAAGAACCATTAGGCCTAGGAACTTCAAAATTGGTATGATGATTGTTCATGACCAGAAGATGACCCCTAATGATGCTGGGGTCAAGTGGTCAAAGATCAAGGTCAAGACCTTGTAGGTAAAAACGGTTTCCGATCAATAATTAAAGAACGCTTAGGCCTAGGAACTTGGTTTGATGATTGTTCATGATTAGCAGATGACTCGTATTGATTTTAGGGTCAAGGGGTCAAAGGTCAAGGTCACATTGACCTTGTTGGTAAAAACGGTTTCAAATCAATAATTTGACAACCCATGGGCTGTTGGCCTTAAAATTTGTTAGGTGTATTGGACTTGACTAGTAGATGATTCCTATTGATTTAAGGATTAAGGGGTCAAAAATCAAGGTTGCATTGACCTTGTAGTTAAAACGTTTCCTATCTATAACTTGACAAGCTATGGGCTTTTGGCCCTAAAATTTTGAAGGTGCATTGGTCTTGGCCAGTAGATGACCCCTAATGATTTTGGGGTCAGGGGAACAAAGGTCAAGGTTGCATTGACCTTTTATTTCAAAATGGTTTTCTATCAATATCTGGACAACCTATGGACCCTTAACTTACAAGTTTTACAGATTTATTGCTTTTGGTCATAAGATGACCTCAATGGATTTTTTGGCGTTAAGGGGTCAGAGGTCAAGATCACATTGACCTTATAGGTAACAACGCTTTCTGATCAATATCCCAACTCATGGGCCCTTTACTTCAAACTTCACAGGTGCATTGGTCTTGGCCAATAGATAACCCCTATTGATTTAGGGTCAAAGGTCAATGTCATATTTACCTTGTATGTAAAGACCGTTTCTGACCATTAACTCAACAACTCAAGTTGCCTTTGTTGATATTTTTTTATTAAACTAAAAATCCTTTTAATATACACATTTCAAGGTCTTATGTAATATAACAACTTTGGGGTCATTAATGAGGCCTTCATGATTCATAAAATTTATGCATATATTATTTGGTAAGATTTGAAATAACTTTGTCATAAAATTTCTGCACACAACCTTTGCGGTCACAATTACCTAGTGACTAGTCATGACCAGTAATTAACTCTTATTGATTTTTTGGTCACTGGGTCAAAAGTCAGTCATAATAAACTGATCACATGACTAATTGGCTGCCGATAGGGGGCATACATGTTTTACAAACATATCTGGTTTTAGTATGTTTCTGAACTAATATTGTTTCTTTATTTAGGTAAAAGCTGTTTATCGGGGTGGAGCAATTGTCAACAATCATGTTACTATTTTAGTCCCGCCAATAATAGTTTCGCAGTCACGTGGTATGAAGCAAAACAAAAGTGCATGGACCTTGTGGCTGGATACAGCATAAGTGCGTATAGGCTCGCAGTAAACGACAAAAAAGAGCAAGATTGTATAAACGGTTTATTGCGGGCATTGCCAGATGGAGCTCCAGGGTACTGGACGGATCTAAATGATCTCCAATATAAAGGGATTTGGCGTTACGCGCTAGAATCTAATAATGAACCAAATAAGGCAGTGATGTAAGTTGTCTTTGAATAATATTTGGAAAAAGTCATATCAAAACCTTAAAAGTTTAATATCGGTGAAAGATCCAAGGTGCCCCATCCGTGCATTAGTACAGTCATGTGGCACCTAACTTTAATCACAAACTTTCATAATCTAGTTGATTACTTTTTCACATGAAAGTATCATGCCAGGATTCAAAACCTAAGCGTTGATAGGCAAGTATTGCTAAGTTAGTGACTTAACCCTTTACCTTATATATACGCGAAACAGCGCACTTTTGACCCCCCCCCTCCTCCCTCTTTTAGGTCTCAAATAGTGAAAAAATGTCCTGTTTGGGTCCCAAACACGTTTTTAGTTGAGAAATTTTGATAAAAAAAGTGATCACTTTTTCGGCGCCGCCCCCATCAGAAAGGTGTATCAGGGGGTTGCTAGAAGGGGGATGTGCCCCCTTCTGTTTGGGGGATTTAAAGGGGGACGGCAGTCCCCCTAATCGCCAAGAAAATTTTGAACTTGTGAGAGGCTAAAAATGACCCCAGGTCGATCATAAGGTAACGTGTAACCAACGCTGAAAAACTTTTGACTATCTGAAAATCTGGAAATAAAGTGATTCCTTGGAAGCATAAACCACAACGAAATTACAAGAGAACTGCAGACTCGGTTTGATTGAGTCTGTGCATCAGGGATACTGAATAAGTGCAACATCCCTCACGCCCCTAGCACCAGCTTGAGCGGTACTCAATTCTCAACACTTAATAGTGCTGGCATCAATGATCCCGAAGGACCAAAAAAGTATAACAACACTGAAGTGAAGTACGTGGCACTTGAGTCCATTGAAAAGTTGCAGCACTTTGAAATCAATTTTGATGGAAAAAATCAACGCAAAATAGTGATTTTTGGCAATTTTGAAATGTCCCCTCGTTGCAATGGTAACAGGAAATTTAAGACTGAACATGTTGTTACAAAGGCATTGGTCCAGTCAACATTTGTGCCAAGTATTATTAGTATTGAAGCAGTTTATTTTATAGTTTTATAGCAATTTGAACTTGTAACGGGAGACTTTTCAATGAAAACAGCCATTTTTCACAAAATGCTCATGCAGTAATGGGTTAAACTACTCGGCCACTGATGTCCAATGTATCATATTTATTTATCCGTTTTAAATCAAGATGATTGTCTGTTTGTTTACTATCAACTAAAAGTAATGTCTTTTGTATATATTTCAGATCATGGGCTAAAGAGCCAAACAACTTTAACAATTCCGAGAACTGTGCAGTAATTTATGATCGTGGGTTCTACAATGATATGAAATGTGATGCCAAAGAATACTTTATATGTGAAAGAACTACAGGTTAGTTTAATACACTTGTGGGTGTGATTTATAATTTCTTGCATATCAGACTGGCGTTTTCGTTAGTTTTACCCATACCGGAAATTTCATCTGGCATGAGTCGCGTGCTATCCAATGGCATGCTAAGGATGACGTAATTTCGCCGTTATGAATGAAGTTGTAATAGAATAATAATATCTGTCATATTTTGCGGTTCGGATCGGAATATCCGTCCCGAGGTGACCCGCCCATTGGGCGGTAACAAGGCTTGCCGAGTTACCGCCCATGGGCGGGTGACCGAGGGACGGATATTCCGATCCGAACCGAAAAGATATGTCAGATGGTTTTTCTTGCATATTCTACCATATTCGATACTATTTTAAATTCTTTATCTTTATTTTCAATGAAAATTTATATCATTACAACCGTAACTTCTTTCTTACAACAGCGTATGAATTACAACTTCATTCATAACGTTAAAATGACGTCATCCTAACCGTGTCATTGTACAGCACGCGACTCATCTGGAACCCTCCATGCCAGATGAAATTTCCGGCATGGGTACAACTCACGGAAACGCCAGTCTGATATGCAAGAAAATAGTAACGGATATAATGACATAAAAATTGTTTTACTAATGTAAAGAATTTAAAAATGATGGAATACGGTAGAATATGCAAGAAAAATATTTGACATATGTTTGTGATTCGGTCCCTGGGGAACCTGCTCATTGGGCGGTAACAAGGCTTGCCGTAAACATATGTCAGATAATTTCACTCATATTCCATTATATTTTTAAAATTTTTGTCAGTCTAGTCACATTATTTCTTTGCTGTTTTCTTTTGATGAAAGATAATTCTACTTTGTGTTTAAACACTATATTGGTAAACTTGTGTAGACTATAAAAACAAGTCCGAGTACGATAAACAGAACTTTCGTCAGTTTTAAAAATACCGGTTAACATAGGTAAACTGCAAGTGATTAACCAAATAATTACATTAAATGTTATTCAAATTATATTTTATGAGATATTATCTTCGGTTGACACTATATCACAGTAAGTTAGACCGCTTATTGTCCCCCGCCTTTTCGAAGAAAAAAGGGGGATATAGAAATAGGCTCCGTCCGTCTGTCCGGGCGAACATTCTATGGTCTATGAGCTTCATTCCGTCCATAATTTCGGTTTAAAAAAGAAGGAAATCCCATAAACCGACTGTTTTATGTGGTAGTTTTACTGGTTTATGGGGAAAATGCCACATAAAGATCAAAGAAAAAGCACATAAACACCAATTGTTGGCACGTCCGTCCGTCTGTCCATCCGCACTCACAGGACAGTAATTATGAGGCTAGAGGGACAATAGGTAACTGTTCTTTCTCTTTGAAGTCATTCATTCCGTAATGCTTTTATGTGGCTATTTTCTTTTGTGTGGCTAAAAAGAACAATAGAGAGAACAATAGAGTAGCCACATTATAACTCTGATGTTAGAACTACCGTCTTGCCGTCCGTCTGTCCGTACAAACCAAGAGATACTTGTGTGATGTGGAGAACAATAGGTAACAGTAAATTCTCTTTGATCCTATTCATTCCGTTTTACTTGTGTGTCTTTTTTAAGCCTTATGTGACTAAAATTGGCTTAAAAGATCAAAGGAAAAGTCACAGAAGTACCATTTCGTAAGTACGTCCGGCCGTCACACTTTTGTGTCCGGTCCATAATTTTGTCATTTATTAAAGGAATTTGAAATAACTTGGCGCAAATGTTTGTTATAATAAGATGATGTGTCATGCGCAACAACCTGACCCCTACCTCCAGGGTCAAGGTCGCACTTGCTCATTCAAGGTCAACATTCAATTTGTCTATTTGAGGTCCGGTCCATAACTTTCTTTGTTTTGAAGGGATTTTGTAAATACTTGCCAATATTGTTCACAATAATGAGATGATGTGTCATGCGCAACAACCGGTCACCTATTCTCCAAGTTCAAGGTCACTCTTGGAGGTAAAAGATTAACCTGTCTGTTATAGGGTATATTTTGTTTCCGGTCCATAACTTTTTTCATAGATCAAAGGATTTTGAAAATACTTGGCACAAATAGTCACTTTAATAAGACGATGTGTCATGCGCAACACCTGCATCCCTACCTTCAAGGTCAAGGTCACACTTAGAAGTCAAAGGTTAACAGAGTCTGTTTTATAGTATATTTTGTGACGCGTCCATTACTTCTTCATACATCAAGAGATTTTTAAAAAAAATGGCGCAAATAATCACAATAATAAGACGATATGTCAGGCGCAAAACATGGGTTCCTACCTCCAAGGTCACATTTAGAGGTCAAAGATTACGGAGTCTGTTATAGGGTATATTTTGTGTCCAATCTGTAACTTCTTCATAGTTCGAAGGATTTTGAAAATACTTGGCACAAATAGTTACAATAATACGACGATATGTCATGCGCAACACCTGCTTAACATGATAATTTTTTTAATTTTCTTGTTTCATTTTATTTCTTTCATAAATTTATTGTTGTATTTGCAAATCTAGCATTGATCATAATTTTGGACTGAAAGTCCTGAGATCCATAAAATAGCACAATTTTATGCTTTATATAAGACTCCCCTGAGGCGGGATAACTCTATTACAAATTCTTGTTAATATAAAAGTTAAATAAGCTAGTGGGTTCGAAACAGTTTCATTTTAGTTCAAGTTTAATTTCTTTTTTGTTTTTAAAGTGCTTAATGTCTGACAAAATAAATATATGATTACACATATGAATTTAAAGATATTGTATTTGTGTCTCTCTTAAAATTTGTTAAAATATTTATTCATTTATTATAAGAAATGAAAAAATAAGATAGTGGAATAAATGAAATAAAGATACTTATATTAAGAAATGGTATAAATAAATCAAACAAATGAAGAAAAAACATTATCATTATGTACATAAAGGAGGAAATTATAAAAAAAACCCCAAAAAAACCCCCATTTTATTTGAAGTCTGTTACCCGAGGAGTAGGTTCCTTCTGAGCTTAGTGCTGTACCTATTGAGCTATTGCGACATTTATTACTTACTTTTTCAAATATCAGTCAAACGTACAATCATTAAGATATGCAACATTTCATTTACCTATATAGTATTAAGAAGGACTGTTCCGTACTATAAATAAATATGAAGAAACGTCTGTTTATCGTGCTTGGATTATACCATATGAAATATAGAGTTTATTCATCGACTGTAAGTATATACAGAGTTATAATTCCAAGCTTTTCTTATCCCTTTCAGATTATATTTCTGGTTCCCGAAAGATATCGTCATGGATGTTTATATATTTACTGTCCTTGTTTATCGTCTATATTAGAAATCATTAATATTCGAAAACAATAAAACAATAACTACTTTTAACGATTTTATATACATCTAATTCACTCTGTTGAGGCAATTAACTGTTAAAATGTGTAAAAATAGATATTTGCTGGTTGTAGATTACAAAAGTTTTGTTTGAATTTTGAAAATAATTTATTGATTATTAAAAAATCCTATTGTGTAGATTTCATTAAAGATAGACTATGATCATCCTTGAGTAAAATATTTTTATTATAGAAATTTAATGAAATCTATGTTATTCTTACCGAATATGTCCAATTTGAATAAATGAATGAATAAATTATGTATTGGATGCTGCGTTCCCTATTTCAGGTCAAGTAAAATTGGTCTTTTCTTAAAAAACTGCCAGTTTTTTTAATGACACTATATATTCATATTGTAACCACCTATAGTGTGTAGAATTTTAAACACAAATGTATACTTTGTGTGAAGTTAAAACATGTTTATTTTACAAAATTTAATTGCCTAGGTTCGATATCAGCCGGAAAATTGCCTAACACATAATTAGTCTTTAAAGGTTAATATGAACATTATGACGTCATCAATTATCAACATGATATTGTGACCACAACATTTTAACGCAACTGGTAGAACCAAGAATCTCATATTATGTGTTAACTATGTTTAGTAGAACCTGTTTACTATGTTTAGTAGAACCTCTAAACGCAAAACGGCCTTTAATGAAGTGGTTTTATTTAACAGTTGTAACGACCTTGTAATTTGCCATTGCAGACAAAGAAATAATCAAAGCACTGAAAGTGCTGTATGCGGTAAGCCCGAAAATAATTGTATAGCATAGGTAGTCAGACTATTCTCCCCCTTTTGACACCGAAGGTACTTAAATTTACTGTTAAACCTACCGCCTGTCACACCATTTTACATACAATTTATACTGAGAGATATGTAACCGGTTAACTTTACTTGAAACTCAACTGAATAGCCTGTCGTCTAATAGTTCGGAAACTGTTTATCGGTTATTCAAATGCCATGAGAAATTCAGCATAATTCAAATGCTATGAGGAATTCAGTGCCATTCAAATTCCATGTGAAATTCAGTGTGCTTCATATTCCATGAAAAATTCAGTACAATTCAAATTATCATGTGGGATTCAGTGTGCTTCATATTCCATGTGAGATTCAGTGCAATCCAGATTCCATGTATTATTCAGTGTAAATCAAATTCCGTGTAAATTCAACACAATTTCAATCACAATTTCAATCCATGTACAATTCTGTAATTAAATATCAAATTTGTATTTATACCATGATAAGTTCAGTATGCTGCAAATCAATCCATATCTGAATACTGATTAAGGTTTGAAATGTGGTTATTGGGTTATATTATATGGAAAAGACGGCAGTCCAAAAATAAATTTACATACTTACAACTAGCAGCAACTGAAAAAAGACCTGCATGAAATACATTTACCAGCCACAGAAACTGAAAAAAGGCCATGTGTCACGGTTCAGAACTGTTCACTATTTAGGGGAGACGATGTGTAAGCGGCCGGATAGCTCAGTCGGTAGAGCCGCGGTACGGTATTCCGAGGGTCCCGGGTTCCAGTCCCGGTCAGGCTGCACATTTTTCTCACCCTGTGACATTTGGCGCCCGATGGGGGACCGTGACTGTATAAAGCTCAGAGTTTAATTCACATTGCTCTGTAACTCTGTGAAATTCGAAGAGGAATTTCAATATAGCAGGGGAGTATGTCACAGTTCAGAACTGTTCACTATTTAGGGGAGAAGATGTGTAAGCGGCCGGATAGCTCAGTTGATAGAGCCGTGGTATGGTATTCCGAGGGTCCCGGGTTCGATTCCCGGTCAGGCTGCACATTTTTCTCACCCTGTGACACATGTATCAAACAGTAAAATGAAATCTAATATGCATGTGATTATACTGATATGTAAACAATATCAAAAGATCTTTTATCCTTCATGTAAACAAACCAAGCAAAAGTAGATCTCGTACAAGTCAGCGATCGTTCAGGCTTAATTCACTCAGATACCACTAAACAACATTGCATAATCTTAAACATATAATAACAATGCAATTGATAAACTGAAACAAGTAAAATCACACCTTATTCGTGGAAAATTGCACGCTTGTTGAAAACCTCTGTCTATAATGTACGCAGATATATTCATGCGCGATACTGCTCAATTCTCAATTCTCACTTCTTCACGACAAATACTTTATAAACATTTGTGAAATAAAGTAAAATACATAGAAATAATTGACATATATTTATTTGTATAAGTTTTAAAACAAAACGAAATAACACTTGCACTTTTTACGACCTAATCACACGAAACCGCGAAAACACGATTGTTCACAATCTCCACGCAGTGTTCTCCCTTTAATTCTTCGGCGGAGACTGGGAAGTAACCGCTGCGAGGAGTTTTGATTGTTCACGGAATTCAGCGAAGTTACATCGGGCGTACTTATACAAGCATATGTTAATATTTTTAAACATGTTTATTCTCACAATCTCTCTCTCATTTCATAAAATTACATAATGATATAATAGCCCAGCACATGAAAAATTTCGAATCATTGGTAATTGTTTGTTACATTTTGAGAACTATTTTGTACTGCGCAGCAACAAACAGAGTTGGTAATTTGGCTGTTTTCGCTCAAAATGACTAGTCTCTCAACCAAAGCGGCTTACCACAAAAACATAATTGAATGGGATAAGGCCGTGACTTAAATAAGCATTTGGTGCAACTTAATGTCAAAGAAAACAAAATATGAAATAATGTAATGAATAAAATATGAAAGACAGCTCTCTGCGAAAATGCTTGGGCAGCTATATAGCAACGGAATGATGCTGAAACTATGATAATAAGCACTACATATGCTTAATTCCGTTACAATACGGTCTGGGAAATGGAGTCGTATGACATGGAAAATCCAGTAGAAAATAACATATTCAGAGCTAAAGAGAAAACGAGGCGAAAGTGAACTCTCAGAGATACACTGAGATGATGTTGACAGACAGCATTCATTGCACCGAAATGCACATAATAGCGTGCATTGAGGGCTTATCAATGCACATGATAGATTATTGCACGAACTCGGCGAAAGTTTAGAAAACTTGCCTTGTTTTGTACATATTTAAATGTTATCGAATAAGCGTAATTAGCAAGCACGAAGAAAAGAGAAACAATCACAGATGCAGGGATTGGTTGTAGCAATTCAGCTACTTTACATAAGGTAACCATCCATGAAAATGACTGAGCTAAGCTACAGGCAACGCTTGGAAACAGGGGGCTAGAAATATCTGTTTCAACATACCCATTTTATTAGAGGTTTGTAGCTAAGGCATTTTATTTATTTATTTAGTTTTTTTTATCATTTTTTATTTTATTTTTCATTTATTATTTTATTTTATATATGTACGGACCTACACGTACATATATATTTGCAGCTTTCGACAGAACACTAATAGCCGTTTGGCTGATAAGCTGAAACATACAAGACACAGCCATTTCAAGGACATGGTGAACAGTCGACCTTTAGGTCTAGGCCCCCTCTAACGGTTAAAGGGCGCCCGCTAAATAACAACAATAATAAGAGGCGCGGTTGCTGCTACAGAAGACCAACATAGGAAAAGTGAGCGTTATATTTATCGTATGCCACTGGCAATAAATGATTAAAGCTCGTCAACGTACAAAAGTAAAAATTGTCAGGCATCCACCACAAGCAAAATAAATGGCTTTCTAAAATATCATCGCTCATTTAAAGTCACGACAGGTGATAGTGTACAAAATAATTGTGTAATAATTACAAATATTTCACGATCTTGCAGATGAAGCAAAGGCATACTTTTCGCCATTAATTCACAAAAAAGGAAAATAATATTCTTATAATATACAAGTCCATCTCGAAACTGATACAATTGATTCATCACAAGGTTAAATTTCGACACAAGTTGAGGAGGCAGCATGGCATTGCATGGCTATGGTTTAACAGTGGAATTGAGTCCGGCTCACAGCTGAAATATAATGGTTTAACAGTGGAATTGAGTCCGGCTCACAGCTGAAATATAATGGTTAAACAGTGGAATTGAGTCCGGCTCACAGCTGAAATATAATGGTTTAACAGTGGAATTGAGTCCGGCTCACAGCTGAAATATAATGGTTTAACAGTAGAATTGAGTCCGCTCACAGTTGAAATATAATGGTTTAACAGTGGAATTGAGTCCGGCTCACAGCTGAAATATAATGGTTTAACAGTGGAATTGAGTCCGGCTCACAGCTGAAATATAATGGTTTAACAGTGGAATTGAGTCCGGCTCACAGCTGAAATATAATGGTTTAACAGTGGAATTGTGTCCGCTCACAGCTGAAATATAATGGTTTAACAGTGGAATTGAGTCCGGCTCACAGCTGATATATAATGGTTTAACAGTGGAATTGAGTCCGGCTCACAGCTGAAATATAATGGTTTAACAGTGGAATTGAGTCCGGCTCACAGCTGATATATAATGGTTTAACAGTGGAATTGAGTCCGGCTCACAGCTGATATATAAACATCTTTACAGCAGTAAAGCGTACACACAAAATTTGTATATAAATATTATGAATTTAAGGTAGGGCGGGTGGAATTTTAATGAACAATGTTACCACGTTAGAATTTACTAAAGCTGTATGATACTACGCACGGAATTCACGTGCGTTTTCACGTGACAGTAATAACGATGTAAACTTTTAAACCAGTTTTATACACACTTAGACGAGTGTTGAGACCGTTCCACAAAATTAAAACGATTAATTTATAAAAGAAAATATTTACATTACTTATATTTACAAAGAGTCTGTGTAGCAATTATGAATATTTTCAAACATGAAATTTGAGCAAAGTATATTTTTAAGATCAAATTAATGCAGGCAATAAATCAAAACAATGAAAACTTTCATAGAATAATGGTATAATATTTTATTACGCAACATTTTATTCATTTTATGTAAACTGTTCATGCGTGTAAAATAACAGAAGCATTCAATTTTACAAACACTTTCAAAAATGGACCAAAAGTTTATGGAAACAATACCATTTTTTTTATCATTTATGAATTTAAATATTTTGTCCCAAGAAAACACATTTTTACAAACGGACAACATAGCATAGTTGACCAAAACATTGATAGAAATAAAGGAGCTCAAGATAGACATAGACCAACATAGAACTTGCTTTACCACGACGACAGGTGTCGCGTAATAATCACACGGGCGTAATATTACCACGGTTTATGCATATTTTTCAAAACT